AGCCAAGGGCTAACCCACCACACCCATTTAAAAACTTTCTGATTAGACTGATCACAGGAATAGCTTAAGGAAGACAGACAAAGCTGCAAAGTTGCTGTCTTTTGAACTTAGCAATGATTCAGCAAATGAATGATGAATAGGCAGCTGTGCACTTCACAAGATCTTCACATAGGTGATTTTAACAGAGTACATTTCATTTCTGTGAAGACATTCTGAAAGTATTAAGATTGGGATGCTTGCTAACATAGCATACTTGGACACAATTCAATGCACTGTTTTATAAAACCAGGTTCCTCTTGCTACAGTTGATAGTGGCAACAAAATTTTGACAATTTATGCTTTTAAGAAAATGGGAAAGGGCTCTTGGTTCTTACAAAGACTCTTCCTTAATAACAAATATGCTTAAGATAAATAAGTTTCTGACTTGACTAAAATTAAAACATTTATGAGCAGATGACTACTTTTAAGGATTAAAGTATGGAACTGAAATATGTGAAAGTATTGAAATGGAGTCTTGAAATGAAGACATAGCTTTCCTGTTAGAGAAGGTGGTGATTCTTAGAGGGTTCTATAACTGTTGAAAGACTTTCCCCAGTAAAATTTAAGCCTTTTTTTCCAAAATTGTCTTGCACATTCTGAGTATAATTGATATTGGAAGAATTATATACACCACCTTCCACTCTAACCCCCCATATTGCTACAAAACAAGAGTAAATTTGGTGTCATCCTTCAGGGAACAAGAGCTTTGCCATGTTAGAGAAGCATTTTAATTCTGGTGGAAAAGGATCCATGTAAAGAAGGATTATGTATTGACTTTTTGTATTAAAGCCTCATCAACACCATCTATAGCTATCTGGCAAATGTAACTGTGAAGGAGTAGGTAAGCTACATGATTTTTCCGTTTGGGAACTTCCTTTGTTTTCACATGGGATGAATTAATCACAGAATCAGTGCATAAGTGCCTGATAGAATTAGACACAACCTGAAATCCAATTTTTAAACAGCCAAGATCTCAGATGGGACTAATGATGTGAGACAGATAGCAACACCATTCTTCCGTAAGCACTTGGATGGAGTACCCCAAATGACAGCCCCAGCCTGCCTTTTGTCCAGGTGCTCATTCCCACTCCTCTGACACACCTATTCCCATGTGCTAGCACCCACATTCCCACTGATATTCAGTGAGCTGAACTGGTAAATCACCCCAACTGATACTAGCTTTAAAAAACAACCTGGGTTAATTTTAATCCAAGTCAGCTCCCCAACCCAGCTAACTGTGTTATGGTGCAGAAATTTGGATGGGGTGAGGCAGGTCTGAAGGAACCATATCTTTCTTGGCAACACTCCCGACTTACATCAGGATAAAGCAACCACAGGCATAAAAAGTTGCCACTATCAATGAAAAACAACCTTATAACATCTTAGTTGTTAACGCACCATTAAACTAAATGTAAAAATATGAGAATGCATAAAAGAAAATTTCAGTCCCAGAAAAACAAATATTAGGCGTCAAATTAATTACACAGAATTTAAGGAGCCTCAAAAATACTTCAAAATGGTTCTCATATAGTACATTCAACAGCAAAAAAACACTGTTCATAAGAAATTTTGAAAGCTTTTAGAATGCTTCACTACCTTAAGGTCTCCTTCGTCAGTCTGCTACAATCACTGGGAAGGTATACGAATGCTGACATAATGCCAGGGTTTCATATACAGTCGGAAGACTTTGGGGTGGGTTTTTTTCCCCTCTTCATCTTCTAGGTGTTTTCAGCCATCTCTAAGAGATCTGTTTTTAAACTGATTAGGCAAAACTTTGCCATTGTAGTCCGAAATTCACTGTCCTGCCTCTTATTAAATAGGGAACATCAAAGACAACAAGATGAATAATATGTCAAACAGGGATTTGCTACAAAGGCATTCAAGTACTGAAACCACAAAACAAACAGAATTATTCATTTTCCTAGAATCCTTTTTAAATGAAGACAGCCATCCCATCTAGCTTACTTGACTCTGGAGTTCCAAGTCACCTGTTTTTCCTTCTGCACCACAACGAACTATAAAAAGTGTATGCTCTCCAAGACTGTGGTAAAAAACCCTATCTCGTTAAGCTGGCATGGTTTTCAAAGGCAAACTCAGACATAGTGGTATCGTAGTTTTCTTCTTTTGACTTTCAAGCATTTATTACCTCTTTTTTAAACACCCTTATTGTTAGAACTGAAGTTGTCCTTAACTTCTCAGATCACCTAAGTTTTTCTTTAGAAAGCAGATGTCTTGAGTAGAATTTTGTTTGTTCTACTATCAAATAACTTAAGAAGGAAATATTACAGTTACTGCAACTACCCAGGGGTCTAAAAAATTCAGGAGCAGTCAATTTCCCCACAATATTAAAATCAACCACAATATTAAAATAAATTTATCTTCTGGAATGCAAAGTGAACAGAAAACAAAAGCCAAGACAGTGATGACTTTAATGAAAAAGCTTATCTAAAGAGAAAAAAAAGATTTCTACAAGAGAAAGTCAGGAGCAAAAGGATCATCTTTCTATTTCATCCAGATGAGAAGTGACAGACACCTGTCATTTGCAGACCTGATCTCTACATGTGTTTTACCAGATAATACAAAAAAGTGGCAAGATAGGAAATTCATGTCATCAAGGAAACCTAAAGAGCTATTAAGAACTGCTCAATGACAACCATAAAATGCTGTTTATCCATGCATTATGTTTACTTTTCTGTGGTTTTAAGACCATTACAGCATCTGGTTCAAACCACCAAAAACATATATTAAAAAAAAAAAATCAACCCTTTCTTGTTCCATCTAGTAGTAAAAATTGCATCCATTGCTGCTAACAGCAAAGGAAAAGTCTGTACACTAAAATAGTAGTAAGTAAGCCCTTCAAAACCAATCTGAGGAGTTTTATTATACAGTGATTTTAGTGATCCCTTTTCTGCCATGCACACACATATATTAATTAAATATTATTTGTATTATTATTACTTGCCTGTTGCAGTCCCACTGTCACCCTGCAGCAGTGCTCCTGTCACTGGTTGTGCGTTGTTTGGGTTTGCTCCTGGTGCTGTTGGGGGAGGAGGCCCTGCTCCACCCCCAAGGAGCATACAGGATGGCGGAGGGGGCTGCCCACGTTTCAGTAACACTTTGTGGTCCTGCTGGCAACGGAATCGCGGCGGCACCTCCCGAGGCATGTAGCGGGCGGCGCTTGGCGGTTGTCCGTTCGGCACTGCCACCCTTTTGGCATTGTTGCCACCATTGACTGGTGGCGATGGAGAGTTGCCAATTGGGCTGGCAGCCACTGGTTGGCTTAAACTTGGTTTCGTCACTTCGGGCACTGAAAAACAGCAAGAATGAAAACTGGAAATTTTTCCACTTAAACCTGTGTTAGCTACAAGAACTCACTGTGACTCTTTCCTTTTATAATTTCACTCTTCTCTGAAACACTGTGCAACTTCAACCTTATCAAAGAAAAATTTAATTGAAGAGGCAGAAATAAGCAGCTGTGGCAAACTTCATGCTTCCATGTGCAACTCTGTACTCCTGGATGAAACTCTGCCCTCAGGAAGTATTTCACTCTAAGCCCCAAATTTATTGGAAACATAAAGTTGGCAAAGAATATCACCCTGGGCAATGAGTCATTTTAGAACATGAGCAAATATAACTGGTTTACCCCCCGCCCCGTTCTCTGATTGTCAACTGGTTTTTGGATTGTTATGCATCACCCTTATGGGAGATGTGAAATCAGATCCCAAGTTTTCACCTACTTACTAGGCTACACAACCACTGCCAAAACAAACAAAAAGACGGGAAAAAAAACACCTTCCTCTTGGATTCACAGTTAACAAATCTGATTTCTCTATACTGCTCTTAAATAAGGCAGCAATAGTTGACTCTCACCCAAAAGACAGTCCTGCATATAGCATTTGTAACTGGGCTTGTCTAAAGATTCCCAGCTGGTCACCAGGTACCCCTACAAGCAAGTACAATCTGCTTCTAAGGGCTATGATGCACTGGAGAAGAGGAAAACCCACAAAAAAATCCTTGAGGAACTAACATCATCCCGAATTTTTTTTAGGAGACTCTAGACTTGTGACCCCTTACTCATATTCTCCATGTGCTTTTTTGAAACAGAGCAAAATAAATTCCCAGCCAGGCACCTAGAAGGTGCAACTGCTAAGAAATCAGACTACAAAGGCAAAAAAAAAAAAAAATTAATACATCTACTCCAGCCTTTGTTGAAGACTAATACAAGAAAGGCATGTCCATAAACTCCTTGCCAGCAAAGTGAACATAATCAATAAAACTTTTCCTCTTACAAATGTGAGATTAAAACAAGCGAGTCTCTCTTTGGCAACATGAATGCATTATACCCCACATTTTACTTTGATAAGGGCTTTCCGATTTCTCTATACAGTCTTCACTGGCCAAAACCCCCCAAAAAGTATTCTTAACTGCAAAATCAAGTTATGATCATCAAGTTAGTTCTCTCTGTCAATAATGGCCATTTCCCCACACAATTTTTAGAAAACTGACACACAAATCAAGATTAAATATATTTTTAGATCAGCTAAATAAGCTTAACTTTCAAGACAATCACTCATCAGTCCTGCCTTATCAGTTGGACTTTCAGGTTGCTGAGCTTCTCTTAAGTTTCCCTAAACAAGTAACTTTCACTCATTTTGGTACCTCACCATAAGCAGTACTTTCCCTGTCCTTCATTCAATTTATACAGGCAGTTTCAGTTTTGTCTAAAGCCTATGCAAAACTGAAAGGCTAAATAATTCAGCTAATCTATTTCATCCACAAACCTCATTCCCTCTTTCAAGTATTCTAATGCTAACAACGTGGATAGTTTTAGGTTCTCCATTTTTATCACCTCAGTTTTACTTCTTCTGAATACACATATTCAGTATTTCATCTTGACTCATAATTCCGCTTGCTTTTGAAACAGTTTTGATTAAGATCTGAGTCCTGGCTCAAGTCAATAAAAAGTACTCTTTAGGATCAAAGATTCTTACCTTTGGTTTTTTGATCTGTGACCTGCAAATTAAGAGCAAGAATGTAAATACAGTTTTAAGAACCTCAAAACAAACACTTAACAGGCTGTGCTAAGTTACAACCTTAATTTTAGCAACAAGATCAGTATTTGTTGCATGAAAATAATCAGTTGATGAACTACAACTCTAAACAGTATGCCTAGTCATATATATGAAGTTCTCAAAAACACTACTGCTCCTATAATACTTCTGCGTGATGCGCAAGTCCCTGGCAGAAACAGTAATTACTTCACTCATTATGATTTTTAGTATTCACCCTCCTCCTCATCCCAAACATACGACTTTCAAAGCACAAATAAACATGTGCTCTAGCACTACAGTTCCTTCAGATTTTGGAGGTGAAGTATTAAAGTACACCAAAAGCTTCCTTCTGTGAGAGTATCCTTACAGCAGACTCCTGGGACTAGCAACAGAATTCCCCCATGAGTAACCACAGGTGAGAATAGCAGTCTGTCTCTGTCATCTTCCCATTTCACCTTTCCCATGACATCTCTTCCAAGGAGCAGAAATCTTAAACCTTACTGTAATTGTCACTGTTACAAAAAGTACCACCAATACTTATAAAGCACCAGACTTCAAAATTTCTTTAGTACAATAAGAAGTTGATTACTGAAGTGAGCTATCGTGCTGGTCAATGTACTCAATATGTGGTTTTGCTGTATTTCTACATTCTTTCAGCATAGCAAATTTCAAGCTACAGCAGAGACAAACATACCACTGGTATATTCTCTGAATCATGGGTATTGTAGCAGGTTTTGAACCTGTCGATCATGAGTTCCTCTACACAATAATGGAAAAACCCTAAATATCATCATGTGTCAGGTTCCACTACACCTATTCTTCAAATAAATAGCTGAACTAGTCCATAATTCTGGAAAGCACACAGTGACAGTATAGAATAACAAAAGCAAAAGTAAAAAGCAGTTTATTGTTTAAACCAACCAAGCTAGAACTCCTTTGTACGGTAAAGAATAAAAAGACAAACTGCACTGAACTGCTATGGCATCATTTACTTTGCAAAGATGAACACTGCAATATGCAAAGTGGAACATTCGTTATAATACAAAATCTTAAGCATTGTAACTTCACAGAAATATGTAATCCAAAGTCTCCAATACACTAAAAATCTACCTGTACCAAAACCACTTCTGTACCAAGCCAGACACCAATTTTCACTTCACTTATGAAAAATTCTGCATGCATCAAATTATGCTGTCTTCTGTAATACAGTTAAAAATTCTGTTAAGCACTTAAGTGACTCTGATTGCTCCACTACTACAGGAAAAGGAAGAAGGGAAAAAAATCATTAATTAATCCAATCCGGTAATGCTGACAGGTTTACTATAGTCAGCAGTAAACATGTTCAGTAAACGAGTAAGTTGCCTACTTAGAAGTACCACACTTTACCAAATCTTTAACGAATTCTACAGGATAACAGCAATTTGCTTTAGGAAAAAAAAAATATTTCTGCCTATACTGCATCTCTCTCCTAGTCAAAACAATCTGGTTTTGCGATTATTTTTTTTCTTTTTTCAGGTCTCCACTACAAAAGCTAAGAAAATGTGACACTTCCCCAGATTTACAGCTGTCACCTCTCTGCGGGCAGCCTATAAGCATCGGCAGAGCAGGACCAGTTACAGTGAACAGGAAGCTGGAGTCAAACTCAGCCTTCTGACAAGCTACCAAACAGCCCCTGGGACACCAACCACAGGAACTCAGTCTGTGAATTTGCTTGCATAACATCTATTGAAGCGATTTTATTTTTTATTTTTTCAGTTTCAGAAGATCCAGAAAGAAACAAGAAACAATTGTTTTATGCTACACAAACTCTGTCTGAAAAAGGTACCCCCAAATCATTACTGCTTATTTGGTGAACACCACCCCAGTCACTAAGAATGAACACACACACACACACATTTATGCTCTGTCCATTAGGTTGCCTGCTTTTTTATTCCTAGATATCTGTCTCCAAGTACTACTGTTAAGTTTGGTCACCAGGAGATTAACTTAAATTTAGTGTTTGTCCTTCCCAAGATTTTGGCAAAATATTGTAACATTGAATAATACAGAATAACTTAGGAGGTGAGGGACCACACAGGAAAGCTGGCAAATGTCCTTTGTATTCACAGCTCCGATTCTTCAGTAAACACTCACAGCACTGTTATCAAGATGAACAGTACAACCTTTTCAAGTTTCTCTTCTATCACTGAATATTACCATATAATCCTCAAACCACTAGTCATTATTTACCAGGGTCTGCTTCTCCTGGTTCCTACGCATACTATTTGAACTTGAACATTAAACTGCAGCAACACAGACAAAAAGACACGGACTACTGATCTTTTGCAGCATTACTGGAGATGCATCAATACAGTAGCTGGATAAAGACAACAGAAATATACCAGTTTATCTGCAGCTAATTTACAACTAATAGACTCAATTTGGTTGAAAAGCCAGATTTGAAGAGACCCTGGATAAGCCAAAATGTAATTGAAATTGGTGCTGGCTGTTCTCAGCAGAAACCTACAGAGTCTAACAGAGAGTAATGTCTGATCTTTCATAGAATCTGTTGTTACTGAAGCAACTGAAAAACAGACTACTGAAAGCAAGTAAAGCCTTCTGCTTTCAATTTCACATAATCATTGAGGTTAGAACAGACAGCCTCTGGACAGGTAGTCCACAGTTCCAACACCTCTTCCCCACCTGCCCCAGGAGTCTCCCCAACTCAAAGCAACGCCATCAAAACCAGACTGCCCAGGGCGATGTCCAACTTGGTTTTTGAGCATCTCCAAAGATGGAGGCACCACAACTTCTCTGGGAAACCTGTTCCAGTGGTTGCTCAGTAACAGACATGCAAAAAAAAGTATTTTTATGATTAACTGGAATTTCCTGTACTTCAATTTGTGCACAATGCCTTGTGCCTTGTCATTGGGCACCACTGAAAAGAGCCTGCCTCCATCTTCTCCACTGCCTCCCACAAGATATTTATATAATATTGATTGATAAGTTCTCCCTGAGCCTTCTCTTCTCCAGGCTGAATGGTCCTAGTTCTCTCAACCTCTTCTCATTTGTCAGATACTCCAGTCCCTTAATCATCTTAGTGGCCTTTGGTGGACCCGCTCCAGGACACTTAGATCTGTCTTGTACTGGAAAGCCCAGAACTAGACAGCAAGGGTTTTACCTGTACAAGCCATGGATAAGGCTGCAAGAGACTCAAGTTCGTATGTCAAGTTAAGTCCTAGAAGAATCTACTAAACTTTCATGAAAACAGAGAGTTTCCAACACACCAAGTGTTCAAACCCATTTTGCAAGCAAAAACAATCTTCCGTGACTTACTAAGTCTCCATGGCTCAGACTTGAACCAATACACTTCAGTTTGGAGTGCTGCTAGCTAGAGAAAATGTAAAACCTAAGTGATACTTAGCAAAAAATACAGGGAACCTTCAGTAGTAAATATTTCATATAAACTTCCTTAAGGACTTACTCTTGAAAATATTTAGTTGATTTTACTGCAAGAATTGCAAAAGCCCGTCAGGATTTCCATCCTCAAACACCTCAAAACAGCAGGAGTTGCACAGATCAAGAAAGCCCACATTCAATAACTTAAGCTTAATACGTTATATCAAAAACTTCTTTTACTTCACATGACAGAGTAAGAAGATGTCCAAGTTAAACAACCAAGTTGCAGAAAATCAATGCAAAAAATAGTCTTTAATGAAGCGTCATTCTAAACGATCAAGTTTCTAAGCTCAAATACAGTTTAATATCTTACCACCCCCAATACCATTTATGATTCAGCCGGATAAAAGAATTCAAATATCATAACCTACCTTCTGAGCAGATTCCTTCTTTTTCTTATCCTCTTTCTTCCTTTTCTTGTCTTCCATTAACTGTTCTTCCCTTTCTTGCTCCTTCTCTCTGTCAAAACATGAAAAAGAACGGCATGAGAACAATCAAGTTCCATAAGAGCCACATGTACATCCCTCTTCCCCCCAAGAAATGCAGTCAATATATCAGATTCCTCTTATCATGATACTTCATTTGCATTTGAGGGTTTCAGTCTAACTGAGACAAAAAAAGCACCTTCTAGATCAGTGTGGCCACAATTACGCCACTTGCTGCATAAAGGAATATTCCTTTATTTGAAACAGGCCTCTTATGGCAGTACCCTGTATAGATTAACTACACGCCCGATATGAGAAAATTTCTTCAAGATATTTGGCCAAAATACCCTTTTAATTGGGTTGTGCTTATACTTAATGAACAGTCTCATGAATCTTTTCATATGGCAAAAAAGGGAAGTTGTAATTTAATATAAGATGGTTTGGTCTGATAGGACATTTATCTTCACAAGAGAAAGAGATTATTCTATTGCCTGTAGCTATGTCACTTGTAAGAGACTAGAAATGTCATATCAAATCAAAACCATCATTTATTACACAAATCACTAATTTAATTTCTAATCTATTGTACTCACCCACAGAATTTTTGTGACTAAACTTGCAATATAAATTATTTTCCAGGGAATCTAT